TGGAATTGAGAAAGCGGATTTTTTTTGTAAAAGAATTCATAATTTTTAAAGTTCTTTCCTTGCGTGATAAAGGTTACGGGGTACCATAGGGAAATAAGCTCGACGCATTAAAACCATTACGGCACGCGAACGATCAACGAAACGACGTCGAAAATTAGAAGGAAAGACAATTCAGTTCTACGATGTCAGGACAATATCGATTCTAACAAAATATTGCTCCTACTCCGTCGAGCAAATTGTTACTTTTCGGATATCATTGTGTTTTATTCGACCCACCCTTGTTCGCAGACCGATGGTACCAGTCAGCGGCAAACTCCGCGGACTTTATCCCGAACTCCGATCACGCCTGACACGCCTGATAGTCTGGAATTAGGCATTCACGAAATTTCCAGCTACGACGACGAAGAACCGAAAACTCGTGGATCGGTCCTTTGGAGTACTCAAAAACACGCAACAAAGAAAGCAAGGTAATTACCAAAATTCCTGACAACTTAGAGTAATTCCGACAAATACACCGCACTGGGATTTACGCCGAAGAAGTCAGAAAAAATAGAAGGAGTGGGGGTAATTTTTCTGCAACTACTTTGTTACATGCCTTTATGCTATATTAGTATTGTGTTACGATTTCAGTTTCTTACTGTTAATGAAATTATTGTGAGTTGAATCGATTTATCACTGTAATACTATATGGCAAAAATGCAAGGGTGTGTTTCAAAAAGTTCTTTTTTTAATACGAAAAATAAGTATTTTGGATTTCAAATATTTTTTCATAATAGTAGACAGTACAAAGTTTTTACTGATATAGTTAGTTTACTTTAAAAATAGTAAATGATACTTAATAAATTAAGTTTTTGTTAGGTGTGGCGTATATATCGGAGTTACCATAATTAGGGGTGACTTATCATTAATATGCTAAACTACATGATCATATAAGAGAATTGATAATAATAATACAAAATCTAATTATATAAATTAATTGTACAAGTAATAAATAAAATATACTATAATTATACTATAAATATACTATAAATATACTATAATTGTACATTTCATGTATGAAATATAGAGCATCTCATGGAAAAATGATGAGAGCGAACGCAATGGACCGAGCTGAGTCACCGGATTCGTTAACCGATCATATAGAGACACTGGAGTCTTTAGAGAACGGTTATGCAAAACATAAAGAAGAATCTACTGCTTCGCCACGATCATATTTATCAATGCCATCGTGCAAGCAATTTCCTAGTATGCGTAGTGTAGAACCATTGTCAAGAGTGTTGGAACCAGTCATGGTAAATTTTGAAAAAAATGAACTAGATCACCGATATAAATCAGTTATATTTTTGTACTAATAATAAAATGTACTCTCTCTAGATTAGGCACTTAGACATCGATTCTCCAGAATTAGTGCGTCACAATAGAAATGACAATATCGACGATACGTTTCTCACAAGAACATCGAGTGCCTCAAAGGACCCTGGAGCTGTAGGACCGATTGTTTGGAATCTTAGGAAACAGATATTTTCTACAGAAGGTAACATATTTTATTTTTCCAACTATTTAATATCAATATCTGTAATTTAAAAATGCTCTTCCAGCAACGTCAATATTTCTCTTCGCATCGATTACGAACGAATAAATAATATCTTTCTACGAATTATTTTAGTCTATAAGCTACAGTAAAGTTACACCAACTCATTCGTTCGCAATCGATTACTGCAAGATGTAAGAAATATTTATTTCTTCACACAATCTCTCGAAAGATTCAACTTGTTTAAAGGTAATGGTACGTCCGAAACGGATGTCGATGGAGTGTACCATCTACCATCCGGACCCGTGGGCCGCGCCAGAAAGAGACTCCACGAGTTGCTCGAGGACTCCTTCAGCCTCTTCGGGAGCAGAGATGTCAAGATCAAAGAGCCGCAGCGACCATCACCGCAGCCAATCACCGTTGCACGTACAGCAGATACACTCGCGATACTTTCAGAAACCAGAGGCAAATCCGCCCACGCCAGGTATACATCCTTGTTTTTCTTCTTCTACAAATAATGGCAGTTATTACAACGTCTAAAATCGCTATATAATAAATTATTAATAACACTAAATACGTATATTTCTTTATTTTTAGAACCAATAAGAGATAAATGTCTTAAATGTAACCACTTACAATGGAAAATCTCGCCATATATTTTATTATTATATATGGGGTGTCTAGTAATTACCGCGCCATCTCTCGCAAGCAGGTAGAGCGAGTAAAATTGAATAAAAAAATTCTTTATTGTTTTTCTTAATAATAAATAAAAAATTAATTAAGGAAGGTCCGTGAATCAGTGTGTCTAATTGTAAACATGCCTCGACAGGAAGAAATTACACGGAAAGAACAATTTTGCCGCAGAAATATTTAAAAATTTAGATAGATTTAAACATAATTTTGATGGATCAATAAAGTAATTATGATAGGAAATTGAAGCATGATGAGCAATGATGCAAAAAGTTTTGATATTCTAGCAACTATAGCTTGAGCGTTCTACATAATTATTTTGATAAAAAATCCAACGAAATTTATTTTTAAATCTGCATTTAGCTAAATTGTTAAACTTTTGCAAAAACCATTTTTTGTAGTGTTACACAACAATTATGAGGCCTGTTCTTTTTGGCTGAATTGGTGCAAAATTTCAGCCAAAAAGAACAGGTGTATGGTTGCTACGCGCACGGTAAGCCATAAGCCATTGGGGAAAATGGGAAGAACGTACACCTAGCAACCACAAATAACGCTGAACTATTTTTTTTTGTCGTTAAATCACATAGATGCTTATTCGCGAACGCTTATTCGCACGTTTTTATGAAATAATTATTCACTTATTAATTCTTCATTAATTATTGAGGAAATAGTAAAACGAGGATTTTTCTATTTAGTTTAAACTGTTTTATCTGCTCAAGAAAAATAATATCGTAATTACTAGGTATTCTATCTATATATACTATATACTATTCTATTATATATATTTTATATATGTATACTATTTGTACATTAAATAAATTTAATAAATAATTAAATTAATTGAGTAGTAAAAAATTGTATAACTCTACAGCCCAATAACAACGCCAACGATGGAAATGAAGACGCGACCCCGTACATCATTACCACGTAGAAGTCTGGACGAGGATATTCCAGAAACTGGGCAAACCGAATCAATTCATTCTCGCGGTACCTGGGGCTCAAGACCACTCAGCGCGGGTCCATTTCATAGACCAAACTTACCAGAAGTGGACACTAGGCGTATATTAGCAGATAGCAGGCTTTCACCAGAAGATCCTGCAGTACCTTTAATCGCGTCAATCAAAAAAGAACTTGAAAAGTTCTCATCCCAGTAGAGCCCAGTAGCAAATACAATAGGATGCAATATTTAGCTTAAACGTCCGCGAAGTGATATATTTAAGCGTAAGTAAAAAAAAAACAATGTAAATATTCAATCAATCTTTTTCACAAAATTTTATAACTTGACGTCGAAGTTTTCCATTATATGAATTATAGCAAAACTGAACATTTTACACGTATTCATATTTACACGAAAGCATTATAAAGATGACAAATAAATAATATCGTAGTTTTATTGTTACAAATCAAAATCCTGTCACCGAATTTAATTTATTAATCAGTCACTGTATCATTACGTTAAATATAGACTGCATTTGCAAATTTAATGCAATACAATCATGGATAAAAACATTTGACTGATTAAATTATAAAAAGTATTTAAAAAAATAATACTGACTGATCTGTCCAACATAGAAATATGTACCTATATCAATGACACAGATAAAGTTATATACAATAAATTTATACCTGGACCTGGAGATACGGTAGTGTCTCGGCGTTATGTCAAGCGTAGCGACACTGTCGTAGCTATTTTATTACACGAGCAGGCGAGTTGTGAGGAATCGAGATTATTGTCAATAAAGGCTGAACCGATTGTTTATGCGGCTATGCAAATTTGCGTAGGATATCTAGCATAATGTCGCCATATTGATTTACATAAGATGCTCATTGGTTTAGCGGCCTTATATTATGCTTATGCTTTGTTATGCATTTCATGTGTGAAGCCTTTAAGACAGCAGCACAGGCTATTGCATATCACAGAACGCATAATGCATAAGCGAATCAACCAATCAGAATCTTTCCTTTTCTCCTATTTTACGGAAAAGAAAAATTTTGATTGGTTGATTCTCTAATGCACTGTATACTACGCATTATAGAAAAGTTTTAGCTGCAGTCATTATAGTTACGCAATTTTGTCTGCGGTTGCGCTATAATGCCTACTGAACGCGATGAGCGACTTTTTATAAATGTGAATTTATTATCATTACTATTAATTATTATTTATGGAATTTTATATATAAATACATAACAAAGTCTAAGGTTTCTCAAATTTGCAGCAGAGCTTGACATATCGACGACATTGGCTATAGTTAAAGTCTCATTACAAATGCTTCGAAGCGTTTGATGGACTAATTAAAAGAAAAAAATGTTACAAACTGACCAATTAAAAAACGCTTCAAAGCGTTTGTAGCATCGTGTTGACTGTACCCAATTATTATTTAAATCAGACCTGTCCAATTTGAGCTCCAGAGCCAAAACGCAAAGCCATCGACACAAAAAAATTCAATGTAAGATTTCGGAAACTGTAAAGTGTCGATACGCATCTGAGTGACGTTTATCAACACTTTACAGTCCCCGAGATCTTACTCACATTGAATTTTTTTTACGTCGGCTTTGCATTTTTGCTCCGGAGCTCGAATTGGACAGGCCTGATTTAAATCATGCTTGTTGAAAGTTATAAATGAAAAAAAAAATACAATTGTTTTATTTCTTCTATAATTTTAAAACTCATGTACTAATTATATTATAATGAAGCCACGGATATTATTAAATCAGATATTATTAAAAACTGATAATATATACAATCTAATGCATATATGCTGTTTTTATTAAGATTATTTTCTAAAATAACCATATACAAAATAATACAAATAGCGTCAAAAATCATTTTTCAAATGACTTTCAATACTTCCACGAAACGATCATTATTACAAAAATCTTTGTACGTGTGTTCATAATGGAGTTTTAAATCAGGATACTTATTTGTAAAAAATTGTATGTATTCGGGATGAGTGGGGTCAACCTCTACAAAAAGACGTCCACCAGGTTTTAATGCTTTTGCAGCATATTTTAAGAGCGGCTTAATCACTTTCAATCCATCATCACCGCCATCCAACGCTCGGAGATCTTCATAACTACATAATACATATGTTATTAATTTTTTACATATTTATAATTTGAAATTTGTAATTGCATTTTGCACGTTACATTCTTATCTCAGGTTGTAATTCCGGTATCTTCTTTGTTGGCACGTACGGCGGATTACTGATCACATAGTCAAATAGTTTTGAATTTAAATCCTTGCTGTCACCAGCATCGTACAAGTTGCTTAAAGCTTCAATACTCGCATCTGACTTTAGAGTCGCATGTATTACTGTAATTTGCTCCGTTAAATCCAATTTGCTCCGATTTATCATCGTCAAATCACAAGCGTGTAAATTCTCATCAATCGCTATACATTTTATCTAAAAAAAGTAAATGTCATATTTTCAATTATAATTATCAGAGTCTGTTTCTAACAAAATAGCTCAACAAAAATATCTCTCATACCTTTTTACAAGCGTGTGCTAGAGCGAGTGATATAGCACCTGAGCCGCAACCTATTTCTAAAATTTCACAACTATCAGCTTGTGACGAATTCAGTCTTTTCAACACAAAATCTACCAGTATTTCGGTTTCCGGGCGAGGAATAAAAATCGGTGGTACAAGTTTCACGGTAATGTCTCGAAAATCCCATTCGCCAATAATATACTGAACTGGCATCCTGCAAGGACTTGGCATTCATAAGCGAGCGCGAAAGACTTGGCGCAAAGATCCTGTATGGTAGATTATAAGACCTCTTTTAAGGGCCTCTTACCTAGATAAACGACATTCGCATAACGACTCCAATTTCTCAATCTGGCTCGCGTTGAGAGTATCATTTCTGACATTAAAAATATCTATTATCTGCAAATAATAAGAGAATTAAAGCAGTTTTTACTTGTTGATTTAGAGTCCAGCGACAGATCTTTAGGATCAAGTTTTAATATTTCTTTAAAATTTATTTGCAAAGATTATTTCTATTATACTGTCTTATATTCTCTAATGTACGTCATCAACGCTTTCTAATAGTACTAATACTTTCTAATTTGCTAAACAGCGTCGATCACAAAATGTCACAAATGAAAATAGCAAAATTTTGGATACCTTTTTAATCCCTATAACGTGCGCCACTATATGTTCTATGGATTCTACTGGCTCAGGTACGCCTTCGCTCTCGAATCGGCGAGTCCATTGATCGAGAACATTGCCGATCGTACATTCACGTGTGTCCGAAACAAGCAAACGTTGCTCTGGATGTTTCAACGTCATATTGAGATTGTTATTCGCCAAACATTGCAAGCAGGCGAATATAGCCGGTTTGTTGCGGATAGTACGTGTCCTCAAGATGTTACGACATAACATGATTAAACGCTGCGGAATGCAAATGCAAGATCAATCGGTTACTGACAGATAGATTCAATCAGTTACTGACTCTGGGCGATCAGCTGATAGACCGTGGGAGAATTGGAGTTTGTATATGCATACATATATTTCAACTTGCGCTATATGCATGTATATTATGATGTACGTACATAGATATATGGAAACTGCTGCCAGCTGGCGGAATGGAGGTGTATTGAACATTTATCGACAAGAATCCAAAATGATATTGTGACAAAAATAAAAATAATTTAAAAGAACATTGAAGCAATTATTAGATGCTCCAAATATAGAAATTCAATCAAAATAATGCAAACCATTTTCCGCACACATAGGTATAAAATAGTGTTTTTATAAAATAACATTATTGATGTAAAACAATAATACTATAGTTCTCCATGTATCTTATATATACCTTTTTTCTTGAAGTAAACTACATTATGCTATTAATTGTAGATATTATCACCTTCAGTTTTAGTTATTGTTAAATCATATTACTATATCCATTAAAACTACAAGCTACAAGTAATCCCGTTCTTTCCTTCATCAAGAGTCATCAGATGTGCAATCAGTGCAACTACCAATGGTTCTCCAATCGACCGATGGTGAAATCACTCTCTATCTTTACAGAAACTCAGAAAGTGGTAGCTAGACGCGGAGTCAAAGACCTGGGTCGCTTTAGAAGATGCCGCTAAAGCCGTGCTCCGCCGGTGGATCGAAAGGTCTAAAAACCATACACGCATGCGCCGATGTTGGAGTAGCTGTCTGGAAAAGAAGGGTGCTGGCTAACAGGCCGTTGTCTGGCCGAAGGCGCTGGCAGTCGCCACCGGCCCCGCTTCCAATTCATGACTGCCATGACAGTCCCTCCGTGTCGCAGCGAGTACGAGACTGAGTCGTAGTAACGCCGTTTAAAGAACGCCGCTGTTGACTTCTTCTCCCGACTGATGCACGTACTCGCGTTGCAGCGCGTTGCACCGCGAGGAGGTCAACTGAGATTTGACCTCGGCTGGGCCGTCACGGTGCTGGTGTCGCAGCAAACTAGCTCTCGCGCCTCATCTATCAGTTCGTTTGCCAGGCGAAGTCTACCTGGGTACGTTGATCACCGGACCGAGAATTTCATACGATCGTAGAGCGAGCGCGCGTCGTAGTGGCTCGTGCGAATGGCGGGTGTTGTGCAGAGGCGATACCGTTTATGTGACGCGTGTCTCGTGCCGCACGCACCGCACGGCTGATCAGCTCGCTGTCAGTTTACGAAGCCCGCCGCCCGCGTAGGATATATGCGTTAAACCAACGTACGAAGCAGCCACGCTTCCGTTCTCCACCTGGGTTCGATCGATCGTTATGGCCTATCGAACCCCGTAGGTAGGGCGCCTTCGCTGAATAGAACCAGACTAGCTCAAGAAGGCGAGAGCACCGCACGAGGTAGTAAGTGCTAAGCGCAGCGAGGATGCGGCATCGATCGCGAGGCGGTCGAGACATTCCTTAGCGGCTGAAAAGGTTGCATGCTTCAGAAGATTCACCGGTCTTATATACGTAGCCTCTATCAAAAGTTTCTCAGCGAAGCGCCGTTAAGATATATTGGATACTTACGATGATATAGATTATAGTGATATGATTGAGATCTTTTAAATGACCCAAATCTTTTTCTCTTTTCACTTTTGCTAATAAGCAAAGACAGTAAAGCTCTCTTTGCACTTTGCAGCGCGCACTCGGTTTATATATACGCGAATCGGGGCATCGATCGCCGTCGGAATTTTCGGAGCGGTTTGCCGAGGCGACACATCGCGTGCTTCGAAAAATTCGCCGGCTTCAAGTAATCGATCGGCACGCCTGTAGATTCGCCGGCATAGCCCGACGGGATTTTCCGAGCCGCCCTTGAACTGTGAGAAACGCGGAATAAGGTGTGGTGAAAATCGAACGTGTGTCGTTATATATCGCGAATAGCGCAGGTATTGTGAAAGTCACGCGCGAGAATAGAGTATGTACATAATATTATACATTACGTCCTTCATATAGATATTTTTTTCATCACAGATCTGTCATTCACTTCCTCGCAAGCGTGATAGTTCAATGATGTAAGATCAACGTTTGCGTAATGCACTTCCGCGTCGGCCCGATTACATTTAAATTATCTTCTCTCTGACGGTTTATGCACTATGCACGAGAAACTACATGAACGTACAATTAAAATCTCTAGAATGTGGTTTCATTAGCAGCGGTTAATTGTCGCCTTTCTAATTTTCTATACTCCCGTAGAGATCTTTAGGCCGCAGTTCTGGTGACTTCTTAATTGTCTTTCGCGAGACTGTGTAAATAAACGAGTAACGAGGGTGCAAATGATGTGCTAGATCGCTGTAACATTTGGAAAAAATTGCAGCCTCCCATAATTGAATCCCAAATCGAACGGCTGATCGTTTCCTCGTTAAGCTCAATTTTCACGCAATAAAGAACGCGCGTGTCGATAATCGTTGGAGTAATCGGTTCGATAATACACAGCTTCGACAACTTTCTTTATTTCTGCTGACTATGTTGCGGCATCACGCGATGAGAACGCGAGGGGAGCGCATTCGCGCGTTTCGCGCGAGCTCGGTGTACCTCTGGAAAGAAAAAGGATAAAAAACCCTCTTTGCGCTTCGTGGTGAGTCGACCGAACGCGTGCACCGAACAACGGTTGCGTTTATCGTTGCTTCTTTGCCCGTACTAGCTGTCGCTCCGTTTCCGCATACCTCGCGGTATCGAATCATATCCCGGAAGAAATATCCGGCCACGAAGAAGCGTTTCGGTTCACGCCCTTGCGTACGTGCGCACCATATCCGAGCGACCTCCAGTCCAAAATTGATGTTAATCGGAGGAATCAGACGTCGCATTGAAGAGATCCCGGAAGTGTGCCATCTACAAATTCAGTCGCTTTATTCTGTGTGTCGAGCGCGGAAGCGAACGTTGTACCGCGTAATTCCAAGCTCGATCGCGATCGATTAAACTGCACTGGGATTCTGTAACTTTTAACGACAGTGTCGATATTATTATATTATCATAACGTAAATATCATATATGGTAAAAAAAAAGCTACAATATAATGATAGGATCGGATATGGTTGTATTGTCTTTATCAAGTTTTTTTCACTTGTACCATATAATATTTGTACATACAATAATATACAATGATAATATAATAATGTGGTAATACTTTAAGAGTTATACGAGGCATTTCACGTCCAACCGGCACACAACAGAATTTTTTAACTATACAATCTATTCGACTTCCATTTTGAAATTTTCAGGGTTACTTTATAATTAAAGTAGGAATATGATATTTTTACAAAATTTTAAATTGGTGAGTTAATGATGAAAGATATTAATAAAATTTGTAAACAAATGGAAAATGATTTATTTATATAAAAATGATAAAGTAAAAATAACCTATCCATATAAAATTTAAGAGATCTTTGAAATCGATCTCTTGCATTTTTTTGTACGATTAATGGTTTCGACAAAATAATAATCTGAATGTTCGCATAAGTGACGTTTTTTTATGAATTTCTGCAACTTACAAACGTAAATAACTTCACAAAAAGAATCGCAAATTTTTTCGCGAAACACGTGTCTCGTATTTTTATCTGTAGAATGTCAGTAAATTTAAAAAAAATAAATAAAAATGACGATGTTTCAAAGGTGTCCGGCTTGACGTGGAACGCCTCATATACAGAAGTTCCATACTGTAATGACATCCTACACTGAAAAAAGAGTCTGATAATAACTAATAACTACCAAATGTTCGGTTATTATTATCAAAAATAATTTTACTTTTCTAAACATTTACTCTCTAAATCTTTTGAAGTGAAAATTGAGCCAGTCTTGAAAAAAGAGTGAAAATTTTTCACTCTTGGACAAGAGTATCAGATTTTTTAAGAGTAAAATTTCACTCTTGGAGTAACTTTCACTCAAAAGAGTGAAATCTTACTCCAAAAGAATTAAATCCCACTCCTACAATAAAGAATAAAAATCTGCCACTCTCTTTGTTTAAGAGTGAAAGTATTTTCACTCTTTTTTTAAGGCTGATGGCTCAATTTTCAGTCTTTTGGAGTGAGATTTTACTCTAAAATTTTTTTTACTAAAAAATTTAGAGAATAGTAAGTATTATCAAACATATATAATAATATAACTGATCGTTTGATAATAATTGCTAAATATTTAGAAAGATTAAAATTTTTTTTATACTATATGAACCAAACTTTTGAAATTATTATTATTTCGCTCAGCATTTAGTAGCAAACTCTACTCGATGCAGTAAATCTCCGAATCTCAGATCTTTGATCGTCCATTAAGTACGCATTCATTAGCGATACATTTCGCGAGTATGACTAACGATTTTTGGATGAATTTCTAGGGAACGATCTCAAGGGAAATCCGATGAATGCCGCCCCATCGCCGGTCGATAGGGTGCACCGGTGCGCTGTGGGGCGAGCCGGGGCATTGGGAGAACCTTCCTCGGACGAACGACGCGGCCTATTCCGAAACGAATTGTGACAGACAGCCGGTTTTCGAGTCGTCGTGAGTGCCGGGCATCGCGACGGCGGTGACGAAACGATGCGCGCGACTCCGCGTGTCTCGCACGGCCAATAGCGCCGATCACGCGCGAGTCGCGGCAAGAGTTCATTTATTTTGACGGTGCTACGTTATCACGACACGTAACACATATACACACACACCGCAAACATACACACACACACACACACATATATATATATATATGCTACGAGGTGCGAGAAATCAAGACTGTCCGCGATCGTGTCACGTGGGGCTAATCGAGCAATCGAGAAACGAGATATCGTATGTTGTCTCTTTCTCGCGTTCGCGTTCTTGGGACGTTTAGCGAGTGAAGAAGATGTTTAACTTTATGAAGAAGGCCACAGAGAAGGACGATAAGGAGAAGCGGAAGCGCGAAAAGAAGGAACGGAAGGATGTCAAAAAGCGCGATCGCAGCAGCATGTCCGCGGAGGAGCTTCTGCGATTGGACGAGGTAAATGCAAGACCATCGCAGGGGAACTATCATTAAGAAATACTCCTGCTCTGCTGTGACTTTTTTCAATTTTTCTATTATTCTATATTGCTAAACTATAACATATTATTATCTATATTGCTTATCTTAATTGTGAGCTTTGCCAATCGTTAAATTTTTTATATTGAGCATGTGACGAATGCGCGATTGGTTATCATTACGTCCCGTAATGACAAGATGAGTGTACACTGATACCGCTTACGAATCCACGAGTTGGACGAAGTTACCGATATCTTGGTCAGATTACAAATCATATCGGCACAAACAGAGCTATCAATATCACGAAATGATAAAATTTTCCATTGGCTTTCGTTAATTGATATTAATAAACTGTGCATTTAAATAACGTGGGTATATCGGTGATGACAATATGAAGAGCTTAATCGGTAGTAAGAAAATTTTTAAATAGAAATAAAAAGCGTAGAAATGTATTAAAATTTCGTCTTGAAAAGCTTCTTTTCTTTAGATGAGTATCGTTGCCAGCCGGATGTGGTTTCACGCGATACGAAGTGTTGGTCGCATACTCGTTGCACATTAACAAAAAATAAAAAATTGCAAAATTGTTCTGCAACATGAACAACACATCATTATAATCGCATCATTCAAAGAATAAAAGAAATCTCTTGAGAAAATTCATAGGATTCTGTATGGTACATATTTTCAGCACTGCTGATTTGAAAAGGTTCTCAAAAATGTGTCATTCTTTGGCGCTTTGTTACAGGTCCGTAGATCACTGAAAATTCCTGGTCGTCGGAAGGAGAAGGAAAAGTTACCGAGTGGCATCACCGCGGATTACAGTGCGTCGT